GAAGAGAGATTCTGGTTCTCTTTGCAGGAGGGTAGCTATTCAAGAGGCTAAAATACTCGATCGAGGAAGACCTAGCCAATTTTTTTTTGACTTGGACAACAAAATTTTATGCAAGGACACTCGTGATCAGTTGTGATTTATCTTGAGAAAAGTTAAACTTGGGTATTAATTGTGAGTAGACAACAAAGAATGTACTAGCTTTCTCAAATACAAGTGTCTGTTAATTTTTATGTACATTTGTAATTTATCTTGAGTCAGGACATTCAATATGAAGTATGACCATCAAATATTTTTGACAGCCGTGATTGGACAAGTGAACTCTCCAGTAATTGAGAAATTTTAAATTCCTATTTTGGACAATTTTAGATACTGTGGTGGTTTTTCTTTTTAAATCATGCCACCCTACTGTATCCAACTAAATTAATAAAACCAACATCAGATTAGATTCAGACTTGTTTCAGTTAGGAACCAAGCTGGTCTCATTATTCTCGGGACATATAATGCATATTACAAAAAATCTCCGGTTACAATCCAAAAAAAAAGAAAAAGAAAAAGAAAAAAAAAGATTCACAACTGATAAATAAAAGCCATGGGTAACAAGTGATAAACTGATAAAAAGAATTACATTATATATCTCAAGGAAAATTAACCTGACGCATTATGGCCCTGCACACTTACACAATTTCCTCACTCCACAATACATTAAAGGAGAGAAATGTCCATCCATCACCGAGAACACTAGGCAGCAGAAGAATACCAGAGCCAGGTCACAATTCTTCACGGACAATTTGCACTGGATGATTGATAAAATACATTTTTATGAATTGCATCCGTTACACTTCTTGGTAAATGCCGCATCAAAAAAACCCCGAGGTGCCCTTCCTTGTCAACACCAACTGCTGAACATATGTGGTGTCTGAAAACAGTTAATGTCCAAATTCCTGCAAAAAAAAAACTGACAAATAGCTCTCCTCTTTGCACAGTGGACCACGGTGCTTGTCGAAATATCCACCCAGTTCAAAAAAAAGGAAGATTGCCGAAACCTGACACAAGAGTTCTATTGGATGATGGGCGAGAGTGCATCGGTCACATTTCCTGATGCATTCATTTGCATTGGCAGTTTCTCACAGATCCCGCCCCCCCCCCCCCCCCCTAGAGACCAATGTTCAGTGTAAGCTCTTCTACAATAAGCAAAAGTGTAAGCTCTTCTACAATAAGCAAAAGAGTTTGATGCAAATTAAGATTCTCCTGGCATGATCAAGCTTCGTCGGAATGTCCCAAAGCATTCTTGTTTTTCCATGAGCATCTGATCACCTATAAAAAGGGAAGAGTATTTCACAGATTAACTGACAAGCAAAGCAACCGACGAGTACAAACTACATCGTTTTAATTAAAAATATTGAGATGCCTTGAATCCGTGGACTTCTTATGTCAGCCCATCAATCTAGTCGCGCTATGAATAACCCAACACGAGGGTCTCGCTGCCCGGTCAGCGAGCTGGGGGTCCAGGAGGCGGCGCGCCCCTGGCTAGGGGGTCCGGGGGGAGAAGTTGACCCTTCCCCCTGGCGGGGTTCGAGATAGCCCCCGAAAGTCCACGGTATACATCAGATTCTGTATTGGGTTTTATTACTTGGTCCCGAATCTATTATTTAGCGCCTAGAGTTTTCTGGAGTGCTATATAAACTCCTTTTGATGTAACTTGTATTTGATCGCCTCACATATAATAAAATCCCTCTCTCTCTCTCTGCCCGTGGATGTAGCTAACACAACTTTAGTGAACCACGTAAATCTGTGTCTTCAATCTTCACTTTCTTGTTATTTTTCTCGCATCCGTTCCAACAGAAAATGACCTCCCATGGATTCAGATAAAGTTTTTCGTAATCCTCATAGAATTCACCATCAAATGCCCTCCGAAAAATATATGATGATGTCATTCTAGATGGCACTTTTATAATGATTCGAGAAACATTAATAAGCAATAAGAATTTCATGACCAATGATTTCTTC